GAGGGTTTCATCCAAGCTGGTAGTGAGTTGTGCCTGTAGGGTCCTGTCCATGACTCTTGTGTGCCTGGCAGGATCTGAGAGGCACAGGTGGTGATGTGACCAGGGGATCCCATGGTCATGGCCCATGCTTCATCCCCTTCCCCATGAGGTGTGTCCCCCAGGCAGATAATGTACTGAAATTCTGAGCCAGGGGATCAGGAATTCCAATAGGGAAGCTGGCTGAGGGTCTGAGAGCAGAGAGGAAAACCACACCACATCAAATAGGTGCCTATTCCTGTGAGGATGAACTTCTGCCCCTTCCAGGATGGATGGGGTTCAGGCTATTCAACTTGTCACTTAGGGGCTAGTCAGTTTCCTGAAGAAATAGTGCCCTATCGGTGCCCATCATTGGTCTGTAATGCTCACAAGCAGAGTATTCAGTGGAAGCAGTAGCTGGATTGGTATTAGTAGCGGGCAGTCAGTGCTGCTGGACTCATTTGTAGTTTCATCCCTACCACTGTGGTTGCTCCACTCATGGGTCCTTCCTATCAGGCCTGGGCTGATCCATGATGCGGACTGGCTAACTTCAATTTATCTTCAATTTGTTTGGTGATTCAGGGCCACGTCAGAGCTGGGTGTTTTCTGTGAGTGTTAACATGGAATAGAGGCTCAACCTACATGGACCATTTCCATCTCATGATAGATGCCGCTGGGTCTGTCCAATCTATGACTCTATGGGTCACATAGAAGCCAATGCACAAGGGCACTTGGAATCACAGGTTGCTTGGTGTCTCATGATCAAGCATTCTATCTTATCAGGGCCAGGAACATGCTAAAAGTTGCTTCTAACAAGGAGCATGTTTCTCTGCTGTGGATTCCATGACCTTACTTCTGATCCCAGGCCCTCCATTCTGACTCCCACTAATGCTTGGTTCAGCTCCATCCTGCATCTTTCCCCAAACTGCCACCTCCAGCACCAGGGGTCTGAGGGATGGTGACTGGCTGCACCACAGCCTGGGTCTGCGGCAGTGTCCTTTCCTGACCAGGCCCCACTCAAAACTGGCCTCCTCCTATATCACCCAGAGTGTGGGCCAAAGCAATATACTTAGATGTGGAATGTGGTGTTGCCAGAATCCAGAGAGGCTTACCAGGCAGTGTGCATCCTTCCTTCTGGTGAGGATGCAAGATGCAAGTGTGTCTTTTACTTTGGAGGGGAGAGCCCTGCATGCCTGTAACCACTGGACCCATAACACTTCACTGCAGTGGCCACTCTTGAAGCTCTGTGAGGTTTATCTTCACCTTCCACAGTGCACGTGTTTTGCCAAGGAATTTGGTGTACTTTCCTCCTCTTGCTCATCCTTCCCAATTTATGTGATATTGCCAATGAAATGAGCAGATATAGTATTCCGTGAGATATTTGATTTGTCCAGGTCTCTCAAGGCGATATTTATAGAAGGTTGAGGAGTTAAGGTAGCCCTGAGGCAAGCTATCAATAAACGTATTATAAATCCCATGTAAGTGTGAATCATTCCATTTCCATCTTCTAAATGAAATGGGAGGGAATGCACTCACCAAATCCACAGCTGCTTGCCATGTGACTGAGGCATTATTAATCTCCCCAAGCAGTGATATCCAGCCAGTATGGCAGCTGCAATCAGGACTCCTAGTTGGTCATGTCTGGAGGAATTCCATTCATTCTTTAGCTATATCAGGCTTCTTCAGGGACAGATTGCTGAGTTATATGGAGATTACAGGCAATCCCAACACCACCCCGCATCCTTCAGCTCTCTAATGGTGGTGCTACCCCTACAATACCTGCAGTACCCTCCACCAGACCCACCCTGGGGCACAATATTGCTTCTGGTTTGGCTTGGATGAGGGATGTTTCCCTTTGGGCTTTAGCACAATGAGAGCCCTTACTCTCCAGATTAGGGACACAGTGTGGGGTGACTCCTGTTGAGTGCATCAAGGCCAATTATGGACTTGGAGAATGGGGAGATAACCAGGACAGCCCATCGCATGCTCAATACATCCAACTCAAAGAAACCCCATAGCACAGCTGCATCCACTGTTCCCCTAAACACCCCACAGACATCAGGCCCCCCAGGGTCTCATTTTTATAAGCCATGAGAGACACATCAGAACGCTGGGCACAGTTGCTGCCTGTGGTAGAACAAAAACAGGACCTGGTCAGAGCCCAGAGATCTGGCTAGAGGAGGAGTTTGGGGTTGGGTAAGCTCTCCCATTGGATCCCGACCACAATATCCCAAGGATCTCAGGGATCAGCCCACTTCATACTTACGTGCAGCTTGAGAGTAGATCACTCTGTTTCTATCTGTGGGAAGAAAATGTCTGTGAGAGGCCAAAAGGGAGTTATGGCCCTATAGCATAACCCCTAGTCTTTGATCCCAGAGAATTTTCCAGAAAAGTGTAACTGCAGATACAGGACAGGATCAGAAAACATGAGGAAAGCAGGTGTGGGTCCTGGACCAACTGCCCTCCTGAGGTCTGTCCTCAGCAGGGACCTTCCCCTGTGACTTGTGACTGCTGGGATCAGGTCCCCATCATCACAATCATCAAGGTGATAAATCTGTCCTTCCTTGTCACGGGTGCTTTACAAAACAGTAAGTGCTGGCACAAAGGCCCAGGCTGGGTTGGCCGATGAGTGTGCTTCCCAGTAACTAGGCAAGGCACACTTCTACCTGGGGCTAGGAACCCCCAGTGAGACAAGAAAACTCAGACCCTACTCCTCACCCCTTCCCCAGTTGAGCTCTTCTTCCTCCACATCACAGCAGCGACCCCAGCTCCAGTGACTACAGCTCCAAGGAGAACCAGGCCAGCAATGATGCCCACGATGGGGATGGTGGGCTGAGAAGACTGCTTTGGGAAAAAAGGGGAAGGTGAGGATCCCTGATGCCCAGCCCCCAGCCCCGACCCTGCTGCTGCTGAAGGTCTCCAGAGAGGCTCCTGCTTTCCCTAAGAGACATGACTGCCCCCCTCTTCCCCTCCTGGCTCATCTCCCGCCTTACTACATCTCAGGGCGAGGGGCTCAGGCAATGCTTCATGCTGTACATGGCACGTATATCTCTGTTCCTCTCCAGAAGGCACACCACAGCTGCCCACTTCTGGAAGGTTCCATTCCCTGCGGGCCTGGTCTCTACAAGCTCCATGTCCTGAGTCTGGTCCTTCCCATCCCACTGCCAGGTCAGTGTGATCTCCACAGGGTAGAAGCCCAGGGCCAAGCACCTCAGAGTGGCCTTATAGTCAGAGATGGAATGGTGGGTCACATGTGTTGTGGGGGGATCTGACGGGAAGAGTCAGAAAATTCAGGCACTTTGCATCTCTTATGGGACACTCCACCAGCACGCATGTGGCCCTCCTGAGAATGGATAGGACACCTGGGGTGGGGAAGGGAGCACAGAACCCAGACACCAGCCTGGACACAGGCACCTGGGATAATCTCCTATTCCGTGGAAAATTCTAGTCCCTGAGGAGGGAACAGCGACTTCTGGTCCTGACCTGAGGGGAGGCTGAGGGACTCAGAGGAGCTGGACTCAGACTCCTACACACATTGAATGTGAAGCAGAGAACAAGGCCTGAGAGGAAAAGTTACGGGGCCCAAGGTTGCTGCTGGTGTCAAAGGGAACCACTCATCAGTATTCCAGCGATTGTCTTCCCTTCATTCCCTCAGAGATTTCATCCCTTAATTGTATCAGAGAGCAGGGTAGACCCTCAAAGTCATTCTCTGGTACAGGATCTGGAAAGAAACCCAGGAGGATTCCTCTCCCTCAGGACCAGAGGGAGTTCGACATTCTAGTGTTGGTCTCATTTTCCCTCCCTTCTTGTGGGAGCCCTGCCCGGGAGATCTACAGGCTATCAGGGAGGCGTCCCTTGCCCCCTGGCACCCGCGCGCTGCAGCGTCTCCTTCCCGTTCTCCTGGTGTCTGCGGAGCCACCCCACGCACATGCCCTCCAGGTAGGCCCTGACCTGCTTTGCAAATTCCTCTGCCTCCCACTTGCGCTTGGTGATCTGAGCAGCCGTGTCTGCTGCGGTCCAGGAGCGCAGGTCCCCGTTCAGTGCGATGTAATCCTTGCCATCTTTGGCGTGCTGTTCATAACCGCGGAG